AGCGGAATGGAATTTTTCCCATCGTGTTTTGGGTGGTTCTAGTCAGCTTTTTCAACCGCTAGAGAACCTTCTGATGGAGAAATTCTTACCTACGATACTTGAAATTTCGTCGATTTCATCAATGGAGAGACGTCTCTTTTGTTTGCCAGCAAGAAAGGGTGGTCTTGGAACGTCTAACCCAACCAGTTTCGCTGATGAGTCTTACAACACGTCACGGGAAGCCGTTACGGTTCTTTATGATGCTATTATTGATCAGCACGGTTTTTCCCATGAAGACCACAGAAAGCAAATGTCTCGATCGCGGAAAAAACATCATCGAAAAATGGAAAAAAAACATGAAGAGTTGTTGGGAGAGTTATTGAATGAGCTACCAGCAGACCAAGTTCGCGCAGTAAAAAGAATCAATGAAGGAAGCTTGTCTGCCTGGCTGACAGCGTTACCGATTGCTGCAGAAAAGTTTGATCTTTCGGAAGTGGAGTTTCGGGATGCATTGAGTGTCCGGTATGACAAAAACTTGAACGCTTCGCCGACTTTTTGTGATAGTTGTCAGTCACCAATCACCCTACGGCATGCGTTAGCGTGCAAAAAAAGTGGTCTCTTAACTTTACGGCACAATGAGATTAGGGATGCTGTAGGCAACTTAGCTTCTTTAGTTTGGAAGGATGTACAGAGAGAGCCTGTTATTAGAGAATACAACCCGCAAGATGAGACACCCTCATTAATTGCAGATTTGTTTCGTCGTGGATTTTATGTTAGACAGGGAGGAGCGTCTTTTGATATTCATGTCTCTGACACCGACGCCATCTCCTATCAGAACAGAAGCCCCATGAGTGTTTTGCACTCAGCAGAGGTTGAGAAAAAGACAAAATATTCAGACGCGTGTCAGGAAAGATATATGTCTTTCACTCCTCTTGTCGTGTCTGTTGATGGGATGCTCGCTCCAGAATTTTCAAATTTCCTTCGGAGAATAGGAGAAGCATTATCCACCAAGTGGGAGAAACCCTATAGTAAAACTATGAACTGGGTGAAGTGCCGGCTGTCTTTTGCCGTCCTCCGTGCTTCCAGTGTGTGCTTCCGAGGCACAAGGACCAAGTGGAGGAGTCTTGGCTCAGACCATGGTTTCTTACCCTAGAGAAATATTTATGGATGTTCTACAATGAAGAGAAATTGGCTAGCTATGTGCAAACTCTGCTAGTGATGTAAAACGTGGACCTAAATGAAACAAAAATGTTAAAAAGTGAACCAAATAGATAATTGACTGATTTCACATTTTCTATGATTTCATTGCATGTTTTTGAGCTCAAAATCTGATTTATATTGAACATAATCTTGATTTTTTGCATACGTTTTAGCCCAAAAATTGATTTACATTGATGATGTTTACTTTTATTCTAGAAAATAATGTATTCGAAAGATTGCAAAAAAAATTGATTTAATTTGATTTGAATCGGATTTTAAAGACACTAAATCGATCTGTTCATGGATTTTATAAAATTGATTTTAATTGATTGCAGTAACATTTGAATGGATTTATATAAAATTCGGATGGACTTTACTGAGTCAGAAGAACCATCCAAATCTATCAAATAAAATTTTTAAACACTTAAATTGATTCAAATTTTTCAGGAAAGATCGGTTTAAATCGATATAAAATCCATTTCAATTCAAAAAATGTAACTTGTTAATCAATTTGGATCTATTTAATTGATTTTAAAAAATCATTTCAATCCAATCCAAATCCATTTTTGTCAGTGTGGGGTGATTCATAATTCGTGATCTTCGCAATATTGGAGAACCTCCAAACAATACCGATTTAGGGGGAGGGGACTACCCAAAAGAATGCGATCCCCTGACTATCCAAAGATACTTGGTACTTTTTTAAGATCTCGATTTTCGGCTGACTGAACCTAAAATTATTCATAAAGCGCCTTGGACGCCAATAAATGCTACTTTCGAGAGGGTAGCGTGCGCCGAAAAAAAAACATTTATTTTTGGTCAAAAATGTCCAAAAAGTGCCTAAAAACGGCTTCTTTGGCCTTGTTGTATGAAAATTTGCCGGCTCTTTTCCAGTTTCCTACCCCTTTTGTTTTTTTTCCTGAAATTCAATAAAAATAAAAGTCTAATTAAAACAATTTTTTATGTTACACATTGAATTGACACGTGTTGGCATGAACAAGTGATCAAACTTTCACAACATTTCATTTCGTACATGCAAAATGCCGTGTGAACAATTTATAAAACGCTCATTTTGGTATTTTATGACTTGGGTAGGAAACTAGAAAAGAGTCATTTCGATTGCTGCGAAAGAAATATGGCCAAAGCAGGGTCCTTTTAGTGATATGGTAGAGATCGGAAAATTAATTTGGTCGACCTAAAGTGAATGTAGACAATTTTTTTTTAATTTTGAAAATCCCCCTTAAGAAAATTCAGATTACAATCTAGTGTGGTTTTACCTGTGTGGGATTATCTATGTGGAGTTACACATGAATGTCACTACTGATCAACATTAATGTAGTTTCGAACAATCTTCTCTATCTATCGAAACTGTCTACTCTGTAAGAATCAAGGCTATACTCAAAATTATTTTTTCCTGAAAAATCTATATTCCTCCCCCCCCCCCCCCCCAGAATCGATTTGGAGGATATTGTACGACTGATCCTTCTCCTCGCACTATTTTATCTTCACTTTTCAGATAGTGATCCACCGTAAAACAATTGTCTCAAGGACACAAAAGCACGAGCACAGAAGGACTTAACTCATCTAAAAAACTCACAATCGCTCATGGCTCACATAAAGCAAAAGTAAATTCAAACAAGGGTAGCTGGTTTCTGTGCAAGTAGCACAGAATGTTCTGACCATAGCCTTAAAAAATACAAAAAAAACTTTTGCTCAAATTGGTGTAGTTTTATTTTGCATGTTTCGATAAAAAAAAACCTGAATGAAAAAATAGAATTGGGCATATTTGAGCTCATAGTGAAATAAGAACAGTGGAAAACAGTTTTTGGAGTAGAATGACTAGAAAAACGAAAACAAAATGGAAAAAAAATTCAAAAATTTTTTTCAAAGTTTTTTGCGGATTTTTTTTTGAATTTTCAAGTTTATGATTCCCAAAATTGCGCTTAAAAAAAGCAAAAAATAAATATTTTTATATGAATAAAACTAAAATTTCACGGCTTAAATTACCCTTAAATATGCTATTGTAAGCCACACGGTCACCTTATTAGCTCGAAATTAGACCAAAAATCAAAAATTTCAATCCAGTTTTCTCGATACAGTGAACGAATTTTCGAAATTTTTTAATGTCGTTCGAATCACGACTGAAAGGTTTTTTAATACGATATATCAATCAACCCTGCCCGATGATTATATGTGGTAGCTGGTTTTTGATTTTGCGTAAAAAAAAATAAAACACTCGAATCCAAAGTTCCTCCTCATTTTAAGGGTCGAAACAAACTACGCAAAAATACTAAGCACCATACTTTCATGACAAGTTAAGCTAGTTGGAAACAACGCAAATGTACATTACTACAAAGTCTCTCAGATTAGAAGTCGCGCAAAGCATATGAAAACTTTTTCTCTGATCGTTATGGCAGTACTCATAACAAAACAGGCAAACACTTTCAGATCGGTTATGTCAGTCTAGAGCATTTGTTGTAGTTTTTGAGGTTTCTTCTTACACTTTTTCTCCCCTCCATGGCAATCTGAAGAGCAGGAATCTGAGAAAGTCTGATGTATCGTCTGAATATCTGCATTTTTGTAACTTGGTGAGCCTCTTTCTTCATATATGCAGAAGGCTTATCTTTGAAGCTATAACTTTGACTGATTTCAACTATGAACTCTTAAAAATACTCGCTTTACGGGTATTACCTACATGCGCCCTCGCTTCTGCGGAATTGCAGAAGACACCCGATATTTTATGTGACAAGAGAAAATTTTGCCAAAAATTATCAAAATTGAACACAAAATTTTTATTCAAAATATAAGATGAAATAAATGATTATTAAGATGGTTTTTATATATATATAATTGAAAAAGTGTTGTTAGGCTTATAAATTCGAAGGTTTTTTTCCTCAAAAACAAGGGAAGTTTCTAATTTTTTTGCACTCCACTGCCAAATGAATAGTCTTTTCTCGAACACTTTTTTTGACCCCGATTTGTAAATACTTTTAGATGCAAAGATTGCAGACATTATAAATAACTTGCAATTAAGTCCAAATGATTTTGACGAGCCGAACACATCACTAGCAGTAGCTCCCATTTGAAAAGAAATGAAACTTTCACAAGAACTAAAAATTCAAATCAGGCGAGAAAAAAAAACGACAATCATTGTCTTGAATGTCTACTATAATTTCAACCGCGTTTGAAGTTGTAAAACTTTTAAATTCGAAGGGTTTATTTTCTCAACTTGCTAATTGTTCTGGGTCTGCTAAAAGATTGGTCGGTACAACTATGATAGAGTGGTCCCTCGAAAAAGCAACTATGATAGGAAGTGCGGATAGGAAAGTGGTTGTTTTTCTTTGGAGTGCGGTCAAAAAGTTGACAACCGGTCAAAAAATAGGCTAATTTTATTATATTAACCTATCATAATCGAGAATAGAAAGCAAACTTACGAAATAAATAATTAATAAATAGGCTGTTTTCCAGTCCCCCCCCCCCTTTCAAATTCAATACTGAAAAGTCTATTCAACGTTGTCATAATGCAATGAAATTTGGCGTGATGAACAAATCGACAATTCTCAACAGATTTGTTCCTCATACTTTAACTACAATTTTAACTTTTTCAACTTCAACTTTTTTTTAAAAAACTTTAAAATATCGCAGCCAGCAGGATTCGAACCTGCGCGGGAAGATCCCATCTGATTTCGAGTCAGACGCCTTAACCACTCGGCCATGACTGCTTATAGGCATACAGAACAAAGGACAAATACAAAGTAAGTCTAGCATAAATAAAGCATAAATAAAGCACAATTTTGCACGTGCCCTTTTAACAAGCTGCTCATACACCAACACGCTAGTTTTCAGTTTCAGATTGATATTCAGTGACAAAATTGAAGAATTACAAATTACATCATTACACTACATTGGTACAGCAACAATATGAAATTTGAGCTCTTCTCGCCGTTTTCCCCACCTGTAATTCTGTGTATTTTTAATTTGTGTCCACGCCTCTCGCAGTCCAGTTGTCATAAATTTGGCATATGGGGGGGGGGGGGGGGGGGATCATCTCGTCATTAGCTCGTGGTTCATTGAGACCCAATAACAAAAATTTTTTGTTTCCACATTAAAACTTCGCAACTTCGTAACATCAATGGTTATACCGCTAAATTGATTTAGCTCTTTTTCGGAGTGGCGTGCCGCGGAGCCGCATTCTCCGGACAGCCGAAAAAGGAATTTGTTCCCGGATAGCCGAAAATTTATTGAAACTTGTACTGGTCGCGGTGGGTTTGGTCTATTTTTGTGGCTCGTTGTTTTGTCGAACCATTTCTTGTGCCTAATTTTTTTGCTATCTGGGAACGAAACTTTTTTCAGCAATCCGAGAATGCGACTCTGTGCGGGTAAACGAGTAAACACCTTTTACGGTGCCTCCTTGCTTTTTCTTGGGTACAACGTACAAGTGTGATAGTAAGAAAAGAAGAGCTTAAATTTGTAATTGTTGCTTTTGTTACCTCACACATATTTGTTCACTTCAGCCCCGAGAAATGCCGGAAGTTGCCCAGGTAAAATTTCCAGTCAGGCTAATCTTTTAAATAAAAGTCAAATCGGCTCTTTTTCCTCCCCCCCCCCCACCTGCAATTTTTTTACTTGTAAAGTTACTGTTCAAATTGTCCGATCATTATGTAAATTGACATGCGGACTAATTAGGATGCGCCAAACACATTTGGTCTTTATATTTAACCTTGTAAAACTCCTCGTTACACCATAAAATTGATGGTCGTAGAAGGTAGGGGAAAAGGAAAAAGAGCCCATGAAAAACGTATTTGGTCTTCATGTAACCTTGTAACGAGGACCTTGTAAAACCCCTCGTTACACCATAAAATTGATGCTTATTGATGAGGTGGGGGGAAGGAAAAAGAGCCAGGAAAATAAAACAGGAAACCCTGTTTGTATTGTTAAAAATGTTGTTGCATGTGGAGCAGCTTCCCGTCGGTCTCTTGACCTTTGCCCCGTAGTATCTTGATTTGTAAGGGCGGGTATGACTGAGCTCTTCATTGGATCTGGAAATCTTTGGATTGCTGAGCGAGTAAGCTTTTACTAGACTAAAATGCGGATTGCAACGCTGCTCGAATAATATATTGAATGTTTCGATTATTTATGCGTGGCAAGTTATCCGGACTCATGCTATTTCCAGTTTGAACCGAGGCCAACTTTTATTGGTCGTATTAGTTCTTCTCAAATGTTAGCATTTGACATTGGCAGTAAAAAATCATAGTTTATCAAAAAATTTTGAACAAAAACTATTCGAGATCAATCAAGGGGCAATCGGAATATTCAGGACTTTGCCCTGGTATACGAGCAATTTTTGTGTATATGGTTTGCGAATAAAAATAGAAAATTGACTCGCAAATGTATTCGGAACATTCAGGGCTTTGCCCTGATATGAGCAGTTTTATTAAGCAGTTTTGGGCGGCAGGTTTTTTTAAAGCAGAAAGCACATTGCACGGAAGTGCATTTTCACTGACAACCGACCACTGTTTTTACAATAGTCGGTTGCGCCAAAGACACTTGATGAGAAGCTACGGGTCGAATGAATTTTTTCCATGCTCTTCTCACTCAGTTCTTGGAATTAAAGTTGATGATGCCAATGAGAAATGAGAAGTTTTGACGAGTTAATTTTTTTCGTATTTTTGCCTAGGTTTGCCGAGTATCTGCATTCGTTGAGCTTAGCATGCAGTTGTTTAGCAGTTGTTGTAAAGTAACTAGAAATCACCCCTCTCAGATTGTGCTACATTAGTACACTAAAATTGCTCTGATTCCTTGTATGCGATGAATAGACTGCGTCGGTTTAATGGAACGATCGGCTTAAAAGCATTTTTAATGTAACAGCGATTCAAAGTGCTTTACTAGTAGTGTTATAATGAACATATGTGACCCAGCATATGGTGAAAAAGAGGAACAGTGCAATGAGGGAATAGGGAGGGGAGGGAGCAAGGAGGGAGGATGGAAGGAAGGGGTGTTCTGAATTGAAATCAGAAACACAATTATTAAAACTTTTACCATATGTTCTGACTTGAAATCAGAAACATAATTCTTAAACTTTTACCACATGTTCTGACTTGAAATTATGTGTTTGCTCGGTTGATAAAATATCACCAAAAGCAAACATTACAGCATGTGTTGTTTCTTTCTGATTGGTTTAACCAACAGATGGAATGCTGAAAATATCAAAATCTATGGTATATAAGCCAAGCGAAAATATACCAAATATCACTTCATCACTTTCTCAAATCTCATAACCACTCTCATACTGAGACCCCCAACCATCCTAATAACCAAAATCTCAAATCTCTATCTTGATAACTATAAATCCATACCCCAATGTCTCTTGATATAAAATTGATGTGTGTCCACTATATTTGAAATAATATACCTATTTACGAGTGAAAGAAACTTTGTCTGTTGAATAAGAATAGGAAAGTCTTAGCAACATTCAGAAAGACCCCTTGTTCTAACTAGCTGCGATTTGGTCGATCGCATAAGTTAAGTCAAGTTAGTTTGGAATATTTGGTGCGACCAGTGAGGCACACAAGTTTCAAAAATTCACTCAATTTTCAAAATCTCAAAAAACTGAGATTATCAAAATTTCAAAAGGTTGAAAATTTCAAAAGTTGAAATTATCAAAAATTCAAAAATTGAAATTATCAAAATTTCAAAAAGTTGAAAAGTTCAAAAATTGAAATTATCAAAATTTCAAAAAATTGAAAATTTCAAAAGTTGAAATTATCAAATTTCAAAAAGTTGAAATTATCAAAAACTCAAAAATTGAATTTATCCAAATTTCAAAAAGCTGAAAATTTCAAAAGTTGAAATTATCAAATTTCAAAACTTTAAATTGGATATCTTAACTTGAAAAAAGTAAGATGGCCGATCACCCAATCACCCATCCTAACTTGTCTTTTGTATCATTCTCAGGAAATGATTCAGACCTAAACGCAAAAGCCTTTTGGACTTCAGTTGAGAATAAAATTGTATTCTCACTAGGGCAACGACCCACAGACTCTGGCGCTCAGCCTAACTATGATCACAGACAAAAAAGTTTGTTTGGATCTTTATTAACCGAAACAGCTCTTGAATGGTATACTGATGAAGTAACTAATACTACTACTTGGGCTGAACTAAAAAATCTTTTTCTTAAAAGGTTCACTGATGGTAGAGATCGTTTCAAGCATCGAATTGATGCTGAAAATGCCACTCGACAAGAGCGCGAATTAATAAAAAATTACTTCCATAGGATTAAAACATCAGTCGACAAGGGTTGGCCTGAAAGCATTGATACTACTGTTCATGCTGATGCCGATGCACAGGCATTGGAAAAAAATATACAAACGAGACAAAGAACTCAAAAGTATATAGATTTCTCAGTTAAAGGTCTAAAACCCTTAGCTCTGAAGCAGAAAGCTCATGAATATATGATAGAAAACCCCAACGCAGGATGGGGAACGTTTACCAATCATATAATTACAAAAGATTTAACTTTTATCGTCGCCACTGATCCTGCAAACAAAACCTCGACAGATAAAATGACATCATTAGAAACGCAAATAAAAGAGTTAACCAAATTGATTAAAAATCAAGAGGTTAGTGCCATAAACGAACAACATTCCTTTCGTCGCCGAGATCCGGATGTAAAAGGCAGACCAAATAATACACGCTTTTGTGATTATTGTAGGATGAACGGTCATTCTATCTCTAGATGCTCTAAGAAACAAGTCCAGGACGAAGTAAACAAACTTCGCAAAGAACTAACAATAAAAAATGATAGAAAAGTGTCATTTGAGACCGACTATAAACGTAACCGAAATTTCTCAAATCAAAGAAATTACCATCAAAACGATCAGTCAAGAAACAACAACTTTACAAATCAAAACGGTCAATCAGGAAACTATGGAAATACTCCAAATTTCCAAAATCAAAGTCACTATGGTATTCGTTATCATAGTAACTATAGCAAAAACGGTTATCCAAGAAATAATCAACAGCCATCATACAATTCCAATCCCAGGCAAAACGAGTCATATGACGAAAAATACCCAAAACAAAATACTTTCAGAGATAACGAACAAGCTGCAAAACAGCATTATGACCAAGAAAATAGGCAATCCAGCAGTGATCCTAGAGGTCGACAATATAATCAAAACGGATATAACCGAAAAAATAGTCGTGATTCTGATAGATCAAGATCACCAGGATTCAGAATGAATCAAAATCAAGTTGAAAACACCCATTGGGTAGAAGAAGAAACTAACTACTGTAACGCACTGACAGATATGTTTCCTTTAAACTATTAAAGTCTCCGAAGCCAAGTGAAGATAGCAATCCAAAAGCAAGGATCTATCTCAATCTGTATCATTTCGCCACCGGAGACACAAATAAAAATAGTGGACTGGAAATTGAATTTATGGTCGATCCAGGATCAACTTGTAGTATCATAAATGAACCAACTTATCGAGAATTAAACAAAATTGGACAAAAACTGACTCTTTTCAAATCCCAAAGTAAAGCCAAAACTTACAACGGATCTGAAATTCGTATGCTTGGCCATACATCAATCGTTTCATGCTTTGATACCGACGGAAAGTATCCAACAAACCATAAAGTCTGGATAACAGAAGAACGCACTGTTAATCTATTAGGAATCGACTTCTGTCATTTGTTTCTTAAAGCCCTTTATTTTGATATCCCAGCAGTGGAACTAAAATCCGAAGATGGTGTCATCTCATATGGCTTATTAAACAATGATAAGGAATATCCGAATGTTTCTAAAATAGAAACAATCCGACTTAAAGATCCCCTATATATCTCACACCGCTCCTCGCATCTATATAAACATACAGCTGAAACATATTTTAAAAAAGGAACTACATTTCTTCCTCACAAAGACACGTGTAAAACTGGTTTAATTTTCATGAATACCATTTGTGTTCAAACTGAATACAAACTCCCGATTTTGATTGAAAATCAACAAGACCACCCAGTAACCATAAATAAAGACGTACTCGGATATGCAGTAACAGATATACAAGGAGAAGAAAAAGTATATGCAATCCAAGATTGCGATGAATTTACAGCAACTATTCTAAACGAAAGTTCAGAATTTGACAGTTGTTTCATGTTGAACACAATTGTAAACACCACACAAGAATGTACAAGCCGAGTTTATGATTCTTGTATAAAATACATCGATTTCCAACAACAATCCATATTCGAATCAAACATGCCAATTGCCCAATGCATTTCTGCTGATAGAGCCATGACCCAAGGCTTCGCCGAAATGGTCTGTCGACGATATACAAAAATGAGAGATTTTTGTAGCTATAATAATAGCAGCGTGAACGAAATCATCGTTTATCGAGATTCCAGTTCCGGACAGATAATTTACAATCTGATCACCAAGGAAAGATATTTCCAAAAACCTACCTATCAAAGCATTCACTATGCACTAGATGAAATGAAACATCATGCGATTGCTAATAATATTCGTTGTATTGCAATGCCAAAA